GGAGGGGGTTATGTGTGGCTTGAGGTGTAGGGTGAGGGCGCATACTCTGGGAGAACGGCGAGCTCAGCACCTTGGGCTGCGGCTTCGCGGATGAAATCGCATGCTTTGCGGTGGTTTTCCTCGATGGCGAGGTCCTGCGAGGGAGGGTTGGTTAGCGATTTGCTGCGACGCAGAGTAGGTGATGAGCGACGTACCTGGATGTTCCATTGGATGACGGCTACGCGATGGATGGGTGCCATTGTGGGTTACAGTGACGTGAGTGATACGGAGGAGAGACCAATGTCTTGTGAAGTGCGACGAGGAAGAAAGTCATGATGGCCATGGAGGGGTCGTGTAGAAGTTGGAGGTTGGAGATGGTGGAGTCATTGAGTTCCCCGCGTTGGAGTCGCCTTGATAAGAGCGGGGTGTGTTTATGTAACTCTTTCCTTCCCTTGTGCAACTTCCTCGTGAACTTCGAGATAAGACAACATCAATCTGGATGTTTTCAATCTTGGAATATCATGACTGACAGACTAACACTACTGGCTAACTTGTTCTCGAGCGCAGCGAGAATCATTAGAATGCGTGGGGCTTTTTCAAACACGCCGGCTATATCAAAAGGTTGATTCTCCTCTCCTCCAGGGATGAAGTTCTCTTCGCGTTAACTCAAATCAATTCGGACGAGCAACCACCCCCAGCATCCAGAGCCCTTCACTGTTGAGATTGCAGATCTTCGTGCCACCGGCTCTCCAGAATCCAAGGCCGGTGAAACTGCCATTAGCCAGATGGCAAGACCCTACAAGGGGACTGAGTTGGATCTCCCCACGATGGTCGAGTAGCTCAAACAATGGCTCTTCGATCAGTGGCTGGATAAATACAGAGAGTGATCTGGTTCAAGCTCGGGTTCGCGAAGATTGAGCAAGAGACTTTCCCATTGGAGACGGACAGCTCCTTTCCGAGCAGAATACCGTCCCCTCGGCCACTCCGAACCGGCTTTATGGTATAATTGTCTTTATGAATCAGGGATCGACTCTGCTGGTTGATCAATTCGCTCAGCTCCGGAGACCCAGGGTTGATGATAGGTACGACGCCGTGCCGAATGATCGCTGCTTGTTCTGCTGTCAGGACTTGCTTGCTGAGAAGGCTGTCAAGTTCTTGGAGAAGCACCCCAAGGATCCGCTTATCGTGAATGAGAAGAATACTTCTCAGATCATTGACAGAGTGCAACGCAAGATGCCGCAGAATGTCTGTTGGGATCAAGCGCAGTTCATGCTGGAATAGATCAAGCCCGGTTTGGTACACACGGTCCAGGCGCTCACCGTCTGTGCTGACTATGTCGGGACAGTCCCTGTCGGACAGACAGTAGAGGTCATATCCGGTCTTCGAGTTGTTGCTCCTGACCATTCGAAGATCTACCGGCTTGACCATAGTCGCACTAACCCTACCACTTTTTTCGGCAAAAGAGACGAACATCTCACTATAGGGTGACCGGTACTGATCGCGCACAATATGTATTGGGTACTTCGGCTCGAAAAGGTCTAGCTGACTTTTGATAAACTGGTCATAGTCAGAACACTATCGTAGCTCACAAGGGTGAAGGCTCTCTACATACCTTTCGTGCGTCCGCACGTGCAAAGACACAGCCTCTTTCAGCCGCCGTCTCGTATATCCGATAGCCGTAGGCTGCAAGGAGCTGTGCATTGATGGAGTATCGTGTGTTGATCTCACAGATTTTGGCAGTACCTGGGTGATCCGAAGGAAGAACAAGATCAGATCGCCAGTGTACCTGACACTCCCTAAATGGTCTCAGGTTATTCGCTTCGCATTGCTCATGCAGTCCCTGGAGTGGGAAGAATCAGCACCCCTGCTAAAGATCAAGTTGATGAGTGTCTCACGCGCAGAAGATCTTCCTCGTGTGGTTCCAGTGGCATTCGTCGGGGGAACGCAGCCTGTTCATCTGTCCACCAAGTGTCCACGATGCTGCTGAGTTCGTTGACCAGTGCTTCGTGAAGCTTCGCTACATTCCTCTGAAGTCTTCAAGGTAGGAGGTGTGGGTTTGGAGAGTTGTTGTTCAATTTCCTCGACAACCGCTAGTGAGTGACTCGAAGTACGTGTTAAAGGTCTGCTTCTGTTTATGCTGTACTTCCCTCTGGGCTGATTTCGGAGCCACAGGGTCTGCTGGGCTTATCGTTGGAGCCAGACAGACCTGATGGATGCCGTATTGAGTGACCATCTTGAATTGCTCTACTGGGATGTGCGATTGTGCAGACATTCGCAGTCAACTCAAAAACATCGTTCTCTGATCCCGTTTAAATAATTCGCCAGATACCTATTCGAAGCGTTGTCCTAAGTCAAAAGCATCTTTTACAACGACATCGCCACCTTGCCCCTTCTCGAGCACACAGCATACTATTCTCGAGAGCTCGCAATTCTATCGCGCTTTGCGCTTCTTCGGCAATCAGCGACTGAGCCGTCGGCATCTGAATCCTCGGCAGAGACACGCGGAGTGTATTCTTTGTGCTGAAGCAAGAATTGCGTCTAAAGAGCTGTCCATCTTCTCTCTCTACCCCCTATTGCTTCCTTGGTTGACTTGCTCTGGCTCTAGAGAGCTCGATTGTGTACGCTAGACACTTATGAGGTCGAGATGCCAGTCTCACAATGTCACGGATTGTTTAAAACCAGGTGGAATGTATTGCAACTGTGAACTGAGGGTCTGAATCCGGGCGCTCTCGCTTGCCATATTGTCCCTTCATGAAAATGGTCAATTCCCCGCACTTGAAGGTTGATCCGACATGAGATATGAGGTATAAACTCAGTCGAGAACCGAATTTGAGCTCTGACCCCACGGACAGTCGTCAGCTCTCAAGGGTGCGATCAGCTTGATCTCTTCTACATCAGTTGAACAATGAAACCAGGATACCCTGGATTGCGCGACCAGCAACAGAGGAAGGGCTGTGCACGGATTGGTCTCACAAGACCTACCCGGGTGTCACTGTCACAAGACATAGTAAAGTTGCCAGACGAAGGGCCTCAGGTATCCAGGACATCAAGATGGAGTGGTTATCGCGACAACGAAAAAGAAGCAGTCGGGCATCAGCACTTAAAACAGGCACCAGGCCCAGAATGGAATGTCAGGAACTGGTTCAGGTGGATCCGACCAGCAAAGAAAAACAAGGCCTCGGCCAATTGCCAAGCAATGAGGACATGTGCGCACTTGCCTCATTGCCTCTACATCATTTCCACCGGCACGTCATCCCTTTCGCCTTGTTCACCACTCCGCTCCGCACCCCGCCAGTGTACTCAGTACTATACAATTTACCAGTACTTGGGAGCGATGGCACCTCTCACAGCAGAAGAGCTCGTCAAGCACCCAGCGTATCCCACAGTCGAATGGGAACTCACCCCGACAACATCCGGGAAACAAGCAGTGGCCCAGACCCGCCGTGGAGGGCCGATCAATCTTCACTATGAACTTCACGGCACTGGCCCGGTGAAGCTCGTCGTAAGTCTCAAGTGTGATTCTCAACCCATCGGGGATCAATGGTGGTACTGACACGGACCGTGCAGTGGATTATGGGCCTCAACGGGACCCTGAAGGACTGGCGACGCCAGGCCAGGTACTTTGGGCACAAGCACGGGTCGCGATACACCTGTTTGGTGTTTGACAATCGTGGCGTCGGTCTTTCAGACAAGCCGATATCTTTTTACTCGACCTCCGAGATGGCCCAGGACGTAGTCGACCTGGTGAGCTCGTTGGGCTGGATCGATCTAGCCGGTCCACCTGAGCGATCTATCCATGTCATTGGTGCCAGCATGGGTGGTATGATAGCTCAAGAGGTCGCGATGCTTATTCCCGATCGCCTTGCGAGCCTGATGCTCAACTGTACGGCACCGCGACTGGTGCGGACAGGGCCGTTTGTGGAGAACCTGCGGCAGCGAGCGAACATGTTCATCCCTCGCCACATCGATGTGGAGCTGGAGCGGCTGGCGAAGAGCGTTTTTGCCGACGACTTCCTCGCCCAGCCCGACACTGAATATGAGGACCCGGCGAAGAATTTCGCGACGAAGCGCGATCGCTTCGCTGCGGGCGTCATCCGGAAACGAGCCAATACGGACGAGTACACCAAGAAGGGTTTCATGATGCAGATTGTGGCCTGCTATTTCCATCACAAGTCGGCAGCGCAGCTGAAGACCCTTGGGGATCGAGTAGGCAGAGACCGCATAGCCGTGACTCATGGCACCAAGGATTTGATGCTGACGTTTCGGCACGGGGAAATCTTACGCGAGGAGATCGGGGATGGGATCACCTGGAGGGCCTTCGAGGGGAGTGGCCACATGCTAGGTTGGGAACGAGAAGAAGAACTGCATGAGTTGATTGAAGAGATTGTGAGCCGATGCAATTAGAGGATGATCTCGAGCAAGAGCATACACCGTTTCCCCGCATGATTGACCCAACAACTGTACATTAGACTAAGATGACATTCCGGCGAAGAATTAGAAATGCTGACAACTTCCTCCAGATTCGAGGGTCCAGTACGCAGTAGACAGGTCGCGGTGACCGGTGGCAACTCGTATAGCTGCACTGACTGCACGTAGCTGAAACCCTCGTGACCAGCCACACCAGACACCGCAGCGGTCAGCTGCTGCCCATCAACTGCATCTCATCCCATCCCTCACATCTCAGCACCATTCATTCCACAAGCTCACTGGATATATAAGCCAAGCATCACCTTGACCCGTTTCCTGAAGAAATTCCCGCTCTCCTCCTCTCATCCACTCTTTACCCACCCATATATATAGATCACAAAACCCCGGACGATGCCCCACGCCAAAGACGACAGCTACGAGCCCGCCTCCTCGAGCGATGCCCGCTCGCCCTGCCCGGTGCTGAACAGCCTAGCCAACCACCACCGCCTCCCGCACGACGGCCGGAACATCACGGCGGCGCAACTGCGCTCGGCGCTGGGCTCGATCGGGCTGGGCGCCGACGTGTCCGCGCTGCTGGTGTGGCGGGCCTTTACGATCCACAGCGACGACGCCGAGTTCGGGCCCCACGGGTCCATCGGCGGCCTGCGTGACGCCACCGACCTCAACGCCGCGGGGGAGCCCGTCCTCCACCTCGACAAAGTCGGCCGCCCGCACGCCATTGAGCACGACGTCTCCGTCACGCGCCAGGACCGCGCTCTCGGCGACCCCATCCCCTGCGACCCCGCCCTCTACGCGCAGTTCGTCGGCAGCACCCCGCGCGCCGGCTTCGGCGTCCCCGACCTCGGCCGCTACCGGAAGCTGCGGTACGCCGAATCCCAGAAGAGCAATCCCGCTTTGAAGTTTGGGCGTCGCGAGCACTACATCGCCTGCGGCGAGTTGGCCGTCCTGCGGTGCCTGTTTGGCGAGGGGCTGGGTAAGGGCATCCCGAAGAGCTATTTGCAGGCGCTGTTTGGCGAGGAGCGCTTGCCGTTGGAGGAGGGGTGGAGGCCTAGACGCTGGGTCAAGGCGTTTTTGCCCGAGGCTGCGGCCGTGATACTTGCGATTTCGAGGTATGCTTGGCCTTTTTGAGGGTTGAGGAGGGGAGAGGGGGGAGGTTAGGATGATGTTCTAGGGCCGGGTTTGCGAATGAGGGATCCTGGTTTCGCGAGTGTCTTGATACGTGGTGGTGCTGAGGGGCTACGGGTTTATCTGTTCAGCTGGGAGGGTTTGCGCCTCAGGGTTCGGCGCCTGGCAAGTATAGCCGACCCGTCCGGCTTGTTGGCTGATGTGCTTATCTTGTGGCTGCGAGTGGTCAGAATATCAGACTGGCTGCAGGATGGAACTGTCGCTCGTCATTGACGTGGAGAGTTCGTGGAATACATGCCAGGGCAGGATTCGGGGAGGCTGGATGGGAGGCCGGATGGGAGTCTCGGTTGAGAGTTTAGTATAAGATAGTACATGAGGAGTACCTCATGTGTCTACGGCGTTCTCGACCATCTTGACGAACGCTTGTCTTGTGTGCCGTTCCTGTTTAGGCTTTTATATCGTGTTCAGATGGGGTGTACGGTTTGAGTGTGAAGGAACGTATCAACATGTCATCTCCGTTGCAGAAATCTCTCGAGGCTTGCAGTGCTGGAGCAGCCCGCTCATGAATGAGTCCGTCGAGAAAGGCATTAGACGTAGTTTATTCATATCTCACCGAGTAACTACTTGTGATGCTGCAAATTATAGGGTCCACAATATAGAAAGGTTATCGTGTTCTTCCTGGTTCCTGGAACCCAGCTTCACATGCTTCTAACTCGAACCCTAAGTGATTGCATACTCAGATTGGCAAGCCGTGGGTTGTACTGTCATGCTCTTGACCTTTTGATAGTTACTTAAGTGGATCACCAGGTTGGTGACTGGGCATGTCTCTTCTGTAGCCTGGGTGAGTACGTGATGCATGGCCTCAAGACAGAAGCTTCGGAGAAAGGAACCACTTCAAAGGCACCATCACGGCTTTTCGTATGCCAATGCAGACTAGAGGGGGGATTCCCATCAATGACACTCTGGGGTAGAGTTATCAACAATGCAGCCAACACTTATCTTCACCAGTACTATCATCCGAGCCCCCTGTACGGCAGACAAATGTGACCTGTCCCAGCGACCGCGTCACCATAACCACCAGACATCTGGGTTGAGCATTACTACTGCGAGTGCCTTCAGGCCCTCCCTGTTCGTCCATATCGACCGTTCCTATAATAGGAACCTCTCCACCCGTTATCACGCAGGCCTCAGGCTCTGTGGCGCAGGAACAGACACCGATCAGCGAAACAACGCCTCACCTTTCCCCTTCATCGAACAACTTTATGCCCCGACGTCAGAGACTACTGCAGGAACGCGCTGGGTGAAGGATGATTAGGGGAGTCGGTGGTCAGTTGCCACCGCATGGAGTACGCGCGTCGAGTTGCGATCACTGCCCGGAGGGATTGGTGAGCAATGGGCATTACCCCTGCAGGATGCATGAGATTGCTCTTGTAGAATGTATGGAGTCGTGAACAAGCTTTGTAGGATAGCTGTGATGGTAGCTTATGTTGATTGATTTCTTTTGGGAGATTGCTTGTCTTCTGATGTGGATTGTATGGGATAAGGGAGCTTCATTCTGTACGGGGATGAGCGAGAGCGTAGCATTGGGGATGGATGCGGTAAGCTACAGTTTCTAACTTACGGGATATAAATAGGACGTAAGCTACATCACCTGGCAGCTAAGCAGGGTAGTCAAGTACAGAAACATAGAAAACTACAGTCATTAATTGTTACTAGTTGACTGATGATTTACTACAGCCTGGAGGCTTGGGGCAACTGCCTCGGAGCAGGTCGCCCCCGCCGTACCTTTCAATTGGGTAATTTCTACCTACAATATCAAATCCCACAAGGCGGCGGGGATATTCCACCTGTTCTGCTTCTTGTTGCTGTGTGCACTAACCTTCTCAACCTTTGCAACTATTCCCACTCGGATATAGTCCCCCGACGGTAAGACATTTCGTCATCGGGACTGGATAAACATCAATAGATGGTGTCGATCGAACCAACCGACTCCCACTGATTGCGCTCTCCTTGCTGCTTCCCCTCAAAAGCGGAGACTCTGTTGGATCCAGAGCGTTCGGAGAATAATCTTCCTGCCAACGCAGTCTCCACCTAACGATGAACAAGTCACAGCGAGGCTCACAGACGTCATTCACATGTGGCCTGCCTGGCCTGGCAGTCTCGATAAGCCATCGCTATGCTCACCGCAACACGATCAGGCTGACAGCAAGTCAACCTCCATCATCACAAGGCCAGCCCCCTCGGAGATCTTCAGTCTGTGCCCTTAGTTATCTAGTTATAGGCTTCTTTCTATACTAACATGGAGTATAGTATGTACGCAAGATATTTCCCCGCATCATGACCTACACTAGTCACGACATCTTTAGCGCAGGTCGCACCATCACCTGGTCAACTGCGGCAAGCAAGCAAGCAGAGCATCAAGCAAGCAATAATTCACCTTGCCCTCGTGAGATGATCATGGTATCAGTCGATCCCGCGTTTCTGGGCGATTGCTCGGCGACGGCTTGAACCGAGTTTTAAGGAGGAATGAGATGAGGGGAAATGATGAGATTACATAAGTCCAGTGAACAAGGCTGTGCAACCCCTTCCTTCGATCGCCCCCCCAAACTGGTAACCGAAGGGATGCAGAAGTACCCAAGATGTCATGACCAGATGCAAGGGCGCTCTCACCTCACTGTTGTTGCGTTGCTGCTGACCGTTTCTCGAAGCCCATCCCAATGTCAGGTACGGTTGGTTTTCCTGGGTATCGGGGAAATTCCCCACACGGTACGTACTGCATGTACGGTGTGTACTCAGTATGTACAGGACGGAGGTCTCGCGTAGCCCACTGACCAGCAGTTAATCAGCAGATCATGGAGATCAATCTAATTCCCAATCACGACATCCCGAAGCAGATGGCAACAAGGACCAGACTTCCAACGCGACGGCTTGACTCCATTTGGCGGGTCTGCCCCAATGATGATCGACCGATGGCTTGCCCAAAGACCTCAGTCAGAGGCGTGCACTAGACACGGCTCTGGGGACACTAACCAGGCACTAACCAAGCACTAAACAGCCCATCATCGGTATCCACGCCTCCAATCAATCCTCGTCTACACCAACTGCACCAACTGTCGCGCCTGCATGGCTTGACACGTATCTACGGCCCTGCCGGCTTGTCAACACGTCAAGGCAAGCCAGCCAGCCAGCCAGTCCAGTGGAGAGACCGGGGAAGAAGAAAGGGGAGAAGAAGACGGACTGGCTTAGTCACTTATGCAAACCACAGCAAACAAACAAAGATGACGATGAGGCAAGATAACCCGACCGTATTCTTCCCTAAGGGAAACTTGCATACCTATACTCCGTACGTATCAATTGAGCCCTCCTTTCCAGGGACCTTCTATAGTTTCAAGCCCTTCTTGCCCTCCTTCTCTCAGGGGGAAAGAATCATGCGAGCCGAAAAGAGCAATGTGTTGGAGGGCCACCCGATCGATCAGCTGCCTAACACTCTTAACCTAAAATCTTGTGTAGCTTTTCTTTCGCTTAACCTTTTTCTTCCCCATTTCTTAATTCAATAGTCTATGCAGTGTGAAAGTTCCCGGAGTCTTTTTTGCTTTTCTCGCTTACTCCAATCTAGGGGGAAAGAGAGAAGGAAACTTAGCCTGGGCCGCCACTGTTGTTATCTCCGATTACCCTGATTATCATACTGACGATGGACCAGCAAGCCCAAATCCGAGTCCAAGGGCTGTACAGCCTACCATGACCCGCTTTCCAGCATGAAATTCCGTTCTATAATCCGAGCAATCCACCAGATAGGCCCTTTGCTAGAGTTAAGACTATTCAGACCCGGTATGATTGGTCTCGGCCTGCGCAGCAAGGGAGTAAACTGTTAGCCTTAGCATCTTCTCGACCTTGACAGAGTAGTTCAGACCGAGAATGACGGAGAGGTCAATGCATGCGTAAGCTCAGCTGCCAGGCCACTTTCTGCAGCAGACAGGATGACAAGAAAATAAAAAATCAGAAAGGAAAAAAAAAAAGAAAAACAAAAACAAGAAAGTAGAAATTGTCAGAAGGGTGACATCGCTGAAGCATGCATGCACGCCGGACTTCTCAATGGTACATAAAAGGGCCATCTGCTCGACCAGATGATAGAGGCTTGAATGGTTAGGAAAGCAGGCCTGTTCCTTGTTTTCTTCTTCGTCTTTTCTTCTTTCCCTGCCTAACACGAGTCTCTACCTGGGCCCATCATCATGCTTCCCTACGTTCTGCTTCTGCTGTTCACAGCCTTGGTGAATGCCTATTCAGACCCAGGAGCCTGCTCGGGGTCCTGCTGGGCTCACGACCCCAATGTTATCCGCCGCAAGACGGACGGCAAGTTCTTTCGCTTTTCCACCGGACTGGGGATCTTGATCTCGTCCGCCAGTGCCATCACCGGGCCCTGGACCGATTTGGGGTACGTGCTGCCCAATGGTTCATCGGTGACAGTGGGGAATGCATCCAATCTCTGGGTAAGACAACGCTCCTTCAACAACCCTACTACATGTTTTTCTCCTTGCCCCTTGCCCCCTTCCCGTCGGGTAGCCCTAAGTCCAACATTCCTCGACTCACCAAATGTAACTCCAGGCTCCGGACGTGCACTACGACAGTGGGACCTATTACCTGTACTATGCCAGCTCCACGCTGGGCAGCCAAAGCTCGACGATCGGGGTGGCCACCTCGACGACGCTGGAGGCGGGCTCGTGGACCGACCACGGCACCATCGGGCTGACCTCCTCGTCGGCCAACACGTACAACGCCATTGACGCCAACTGGATCTCCATCGGCGGCACCGGGTATCTGCAATGGGGCTCGTACTGGCACGGCCTCTACCAGGCGCCCATGACCAGCTCGCTGCAGATCAGCTCCTCCACCCCGACCAACCTGGCCTACAATGCCTCGGGCAACCACGCCATCGAGGCGTCGTACCTCTTCGAGTACGGGGGTTACTACTACCTCACCTTCTCCAGTGGCCAGGCGCAGGGCTACACCAGCGGGCTCCCAGCACAGGGGCTCGAGTACCGCGTTGTCGTTTGCCGGTCGAAGACGGGGACGGGCAGCTTTGTATGTTTACCTAGCCATTCTCCTTAGGCCCGCTGGTCTCTTGCCGTGATATCATGGAGACTCCCATTGCTGATACCACCCAAAACAGGTCGACAAGAACGGGGTCGCATGCACCAACAGCGGTGGAACCACCGTCCTCGCCAGTCATGACTACGTCTACGGGCCCGGTGGACAGTAAGCTTCCCTCTCTTTTTGTCTTTCCCCGCGCCTATGAGATCCGACCCGAAGCCTATATTCCCCACCTCAACCCCACCACGCATCCACCAATATATCCACAATTGAACCCATACATCATGATTGCATTACATATGAACGTACCCATGTTAACGGAAGGTTCACTCAGGGGCATCGTCAACACCACCAACCACGGCATCGTGCTGTACTACCACTACGCCAACCCCAACATCGGCCTGGACACCTCGCAGTACCAGTTCGGCTGGAACACCCTCACCTGGGTGGACGGGTGGCCCACGGTTGCGTAATCCATCGGCCTATCTATGAGTTAGACAGAGTATACCCTTGTTTACATCGTTGCTTCCTCGCACCCATGGGGAGATCAAGTCTCAAGTGAATCAGCGAGTGGCGACCTTTTCGAGATCAATCAACAACAAACAACCCTTCCACAGTCCCACTAGTGAGCAAAAAGTGAACTCACTGCCTTCCGAACTGGGCAAATAATCGTCATGACGTTGGACCTTCGAAACAAGAAAATGGATCTCGATCGCGAACGGACAACGGCGCTTGTTGGCTGGATTTTCCCCATGGGATTAGATTGGAACCTTCTCCCCGGGGTAGTTGGTGGAGAAGGGAAGGGGGGGTGGGGGGGCCCACTATCTCTTTTCTTGTTTAATTTTTGCATATATTTTGGTGTAATTTTGGTACCTCGGTTCGAGTGAATACATTGTGCATATATGGTTGCATATCATACCATTGCCCTTAGCCTTTCAGGGAGTATGTTTGAACGACTAAGTTGTTCTGTGAATGAGATGAGCGCATGGGATAATTGAAGCAAGCCGACAGGGGCAAACCTTTACCCCTGGAAGGACCAACAAATTCAACCTTACTGATATGACTGGACTGAATATAGTCATAATTTTCAATTCGGACGCACATCAACCTGGACCAAACATACAGCAAACAAAGAAATACTACCGGTTTCTCCCTCCCCCCCTTCTCTGCAGCGAATCCAACACCGACAAACAAAAACAGCAATCTCGCGGAAATTCTTTATGTAAGTTAACCTTTTCCGCATCCTAGCCGTGCCGTACCTGAATATCTGCTGCGCCCTGCCCTGCCCTGCGAATTCTTGGTGTACGGTACGTACAGTATGTATGCTGCGGCCCGCGACGCGGTATGCAACCATGGACTCATAATACGGAAGTGCATTTTCCACCCCCTTCCGTTCCGCAAGTGCAATTTTCCAGGGATAAACTAGTTCCTCTGAGATTGTGTCTTTACTCAAGAAGAACGGAGTAGAGCTTAGACTCGAGTCTAGATCTCGGTTCCAGACGCGACTGGACTTGACTCTGGACTGGACTCGAGAATTGCAGACTCGATGGTCTAGATCTTGAATGTCGGATTTCGAGATGGCATCTGGTGCAATGAAAGGAGCCATCTGATGTTTTCCGGCGAGAGGAAGACTTTTTCACTGTGGCTTGCTGGGTTGCGTTCGTCGTTTGCAAGTGGCAGTAACCCTTCCCACCCCCTGTTGTTCTTCGTGTGACGGTTGGATGTAAGGGCAGAGGCAGAGCGGTTCCCCGGGTCTGACAGGTCGGATTGGGAGGGGCTGTGTGTACTGTACTTGCAGTACAGTGATAGGTTCAATTGGGTACAGCTGGGTGGGGTTGTTATTGTATAGGGGTGGTTGGTGGAGTGTTGGGGTTCTACGGAGTCGCTTCAATGGAATTTGTGAGTTGTTGGATTTGACAGGCCTGGGTTGTATGTGCTTTGGTAGTATTGCTCTTTCGCCTTGTTGACTTCATCACTTAGGTGTAGTGTATAGGTATAGCCTCTCTTAACCTTATTACCTGTTCCTGGTGCGGTGATGTGCTGATTGAATTCACAGCGCAGGAGACGTCCAGCGATGATACGCCCTAGCATTGAGCATATGCAGTGGTCAACAGTCAAGCTTTGCGGAACCACAGGATAACTTACAGCTCTCGAAGGGAAAACACCCAGACATCAAGTATCCATGCACTGGCCCGGAAGATGAAGTTGTTGCAACTCTGTCCCACGACAAGCCACCAGATATACTACAGTGGCAGACAGAAAGCAAAGGAATAGGGAGGGTCAATTGCATAACGAAATAAGTACAGTAGAGTACATACTTCAGACCAACTCATCTCCAAGCCCCCGTCTTGGAGACGCAATCCAGCACAAAACATAACATAACCTACCAACCATGACGACCATTTCCCCATCCAGTCCAAACCTACAACCGCACATCATCAAAATACTTCCTCCCCTTGTCGCCCAACAACCCAGCCACGACCTCCTCCAACTCGACCGTCCCCCGCTCCACCCGCCTTTGCGTCCGCTGCTCATACTGCTTATACATCACGCCCCCGGGCAGAAAGCTCAGCGTCATCTCCACAAACGGACCGACGGCGGTCTCCGGCAAGAACCGCGCAAAATACTCCGTCAGATTCTCCTTCTTGACGGGGCGCAGCTCCACCGCGCGGCCCACCACCGTCGCAAACGCCCGCTGCACATCCACCGACGAGTACTCGCGCGGACCGTGCAGCTCGAACACATACGGCGTTTCTGTACCGTCTGTCTCGTGGGACAGGATACATCTCGCGCTGTGAGATCCGATGTCTTTGACGGCGACCTGTTGCGATCGCGTCAGCACGCACCCGCTGTCCAATCCACTCTCCTCCTCCATCCCTTCAATGTAAGCTATCTAGAGCACCGGGGTTGGGGGGAGCTTGCCATCGGCACCTCAAAATCCACCGGCGTAATCACCGTCTCGAGATACGGTCTCTCCTTATGCCGCACATTCTGCACCGCCGTCGCCCAGTTCTCCATGAAGTACGCGCACCGCATGATCACCACCTCGGCCGCGGCGTCGCGCAGGATGGCTTCGGAGATATGGTTCGTCATGATCTCCCCCTGTCCATCAAGTTGTCAGGGACACTGTTAGCCCTATTCCACTACCTCACGAATTCACCTCCCCCCCCCGGGGAACCACCAAAGCTGATCCACCCCGGGGGGAAAAGGAAAACGTACAGTTTCCGCCCCAACCTCAGCCCCCAAACTCGATAGCAGCACCAGCCGCCGCACGGTCCCCGAACGCTGGATCGCCAGCCGGATGTTGGTGGAGACGGTGGTGGCCCACTCGTCGAGTGGTGTGGTCTCGTCCAGGCACGGCGGCAGCACGAAGAAGACGGTGTCGAAGCCGTGGAAGTTCAGCGTGGCGGGTACGGTCAGGTCGCCTGGGTAGGGCTCGAAGTGCGGGTGGTTCTGGAGCTGTGGGGGCACGCGGTGGAAGTTGCGGTAGAGGCCGCGGATGTGCAGCTTCTCATGAAGAGGGCTGGCGAGGAGGGCGGTGATGGTGGCTTGGGCGGTTTGTGGGGAGGCGGGAGCTATCAGGATGCGCATTTTGAGGGGTGTGTTGGTGGTGTGACAGGTGATGTGGTGGTGTTATGGATTGTTGGCGTAGAGGGAGGTGGATGGGATCATCACAGGTGTAGATGTTGTATGTAGTAGAGGGCTATACTTTAAGTAGGTGGTGATGATGCATGGCTTCATTGTTTCGGAGCTGAATACGAAGAGCACTGCGGGGAAGTGTTGCGATTATTGGGTACCGTCTGCTGAGCTCGAGATTTGAGTTAATCGATGGTCACTTCTTCGGATATACTTCAGTATGCATGGCAACTGGCAAGATGTCAAGCAAGCCGATGATCTCACCGACCCCGAGTCTAGCCCCAACGCAGTCTAGTCCCCCGAGCAATCACGCCATCGCCACGGCCACGTGACGCCGGCTGACTAACGCCGACCATCGGCCCTGTCCTACTGTAAGCTGTCTGTCCCTCACCTTATCTTCTCGATACATCGCTGACTGCAAAGGAAAAGCAGCAATGTTCCGCCAGAGTATTCGCCGCTTCGGCACGACCGCACTCCGCGCCGCGGAAGCCTCCTCGTCCGCGTCGACGGCCGCCGCCTACAATGTCCGGGTCTCGCAGACCCAGGGCGTGGTGAACGGTCTGACGGCGGGTAAGTAGTACCGCATCCGCCCTTCCTCCAACCCACCATCCACCCGCTAACCTGCCATAGCAATCGGCAACACCCCGCTCATCCGGCTCAAGCGCCTCTCCGACGAAACGGGGTGCAACATCCTGGGCAAAGCCGAATTCCAGAACCCGGGGGGCAGCGTCAAGGACCGGGCCGCCCTCTTCGTGGTGGAGGACGCGGAGCGCCGGGGCCTGCTCAAACCCGGGGGCACGGTGGTGGAGGGCACGGCGGGCAACACGGGGATCGGGCTGGCGCACGTGTGCCGGTCGAAGGGGTACAAGCTGGTGATCTACATGCCCAACACGCAGTCCCAGGGCAAGATCGACCTGCTGCGGCTGCTGGGCGCGGAGGTGTACCCCGTCCCCGCGGTGGCGTTCGACAACCCGGAGAACTACAACCACCAGGCGCGGCGGCATGCCGAGTCCTTGGAGAATGCGGTCTGGACGAACCAGTTCGATAACACGGCCAACCGCCAGGCGCACATCGAGACCACGGGGCCGGAGATCTGGGCCCAGACTTCGGGCAAACTGGATGCGTTTACGTGCGCCACGGGCACGGGGGGTACGCTGGCGGGGATCACGCGGTATTTGAAGACGGTTAGTGAGGGCAAGGTGCAGTGTTTCCTGGCGGATCCGCCGGGCTCGGTGCTGCATAGCTATATCCAGAGTGGCGGGACGTTGGTCGAGCGGTCGGGCAGCAGTATCACCGAGGGGATCGGGCAGGGCCGGGTTACGGATAATCTGTCGCCGGATATCGGGCTGCTGGATGGGTCGTTGAATATTCCCGATGAGAAGTCGATCGAGATGGTGTATCGGTGTCTCGATGAGGAGGGGCTGTACCTCGGGGCCAGCTCGGCGCTGAATGTCGCTGCCGCGCATGAGGTTGCGCTGAAGCTGGGCAAGGGCAGCACCGTTGTCACAATTTTGTGCGATGGCGCGTATCGGTACGCCGACCGGCTGTTCTCTAACTCCTGGCTGCAGGGCAAGGGGCTGCGCACGGCGATTCCCAAGCATTTGGAGAAGTACATCGTGCTGCCTTAAGTGGGAGGGAGTTTGTATAGTAGACTTGTGCATAGATAACGAAGCATTTTTTTTGTTCATCCGGTGTATCGGTGGGGGTTTGTATAGTAGTTGGAGGATGTGAGTAGATAACGGATCATGTTGTTTATCCGGTATATCGGTGGGGAAATGGTAGTACTATACAAGAGGAGTGAGTCCATAGACCAGACAGAAGCAAAGCCGGAGCAAAGCACGAAAACCAAACGCCATCATGCACCCATTTCTATCCCGAAGAAAAGAATAAACGCCGAACCCATGTATAGAACATGTACAAGTAGCCCACCCCCAACCCCTCTCATCCCTCATCTCCAACCAACCCCCTTCCCCCCTAAACTGACAGTCTAATCATCATCCGCCGGCATCCGCATATAAGCATCAATCGCCGCACTAAACGCCGCGAAACCCGCACAGCCCGCCGCAGCAGCCTGGGGCCCCGCCTTGGCCCCCAGAATGCCGCCGGTGATGCACCCCGCCGCGACGCTGTTGGTGAGGTCGTTCTTGGCCCGCAGCCCCTCGATGCAGCACTCGGTGCCCGAGTACAGCGCGCCCACGATGCCGAAGTTCTTGGCCGACGACCACGACCGCGAGCCCATGTCCTTGAAGCCGCGGCGGACCTGTTCGCGCCAGGGGAGGTCCATGATCGCTTTGCCCTGCGGCGTGAAGGTGGAGTCGTAGGACATCTTTGCGTTCATTCGTTAGTTTGGTGGTTGAATGGGGAGAAGGTTTTAGGGGAGATGGGGGGTAGGATTAGGACTGAGGGCTGAGGGGATTGACAAGCAACCCCGGCGTCTAGCTATCCAACTCTTTCTCGAGGGTATGTGTATTGTATCCGGGGTTGAAAGCGACAGGGAAAGGGAAACATACACTAGCCATAAACAACCCGAACACACCACCCAGACCGAAACCCATCGTACCCGAGATGACCGTCTTCACGGGGCAGGATTCCATCGCGCCGTACATCTGCATTCACACTCGTGTCAGCGAGGTTTCTCGTGTAAAGGTACTTTCCAGAATCGAGGGACGTACCAGCTTCACCATCGCTTGCTCCTGCTCGCTCATGCCCTGCATGTTGGGGCCGCCGCCCATCCCTCCGAGGGGCGGGGTCACGCTGGGGAAACTCATGCTGTGCGTGGTTGAGATGTGTGGTGGATAGGCTGGCTGGGACAGGAAATAAGAAGACAGCCGGGCGACCTGCCGATATGATCAAGTGATGGAGAAGGTGTCGACACCGAGCTCTATCGCGCCCCGGACTTTTTGCGGAGACGGAGTGGCGGCTCTCTCGCAATTTTATTCACGGCACCCCGGTACCGCCACTTGCGCAGGTTGCACGTGATACACTCCCGGAATCTAGACGAGGCTCTACGAACGGCATTCTGTGCACGCAACATAAATCGGTAAATGTGTCAAGATAAGATAATGTGTATCGGCTATATTTAACAGGCTGGTGATTGCCAAAGCCATCAACAGTAACTCAACGAGTGAAAGAATGTAACAACGCTCATCGTAAAGGGTATTGCGATCAACAATCATAACCCTGCGTAAATCCGTACTGGCCTCATGCCCCATGGCTGCAACCCAGCGTCTACCGTTCAATCTAAATTCAAGATCATGTGCTGTATTTACAATGTGCCGGAATCAATCCCGCTTGGCGTCCTTGTCCGGGAAGAATTCCCTCCTCTCTGGCGACGGACTCAAACTGCGCTCCCACTCCGCCATCAGGTTCGACGCCGTGCGGGTCAACTTCGAAGGCGCCAGTTTGGTCATCGCCGGCCAGGGGATCCCGTCGGAAACGCTGGGATCCGGAATGCTGGTGTCGTGCAGCGGGCGCCAGTCGCCAAAGCTAGGTGGTTTCCGTCAGGATAATACTCCCCCACAAAAAGAAAGACAGAACTTACCTGGCGCTGGTGCGGGGGCTGCTGTTCTGCGTCATCGGCGACTGGTCATGCTTCGTCTCCAACGTGCTGCGACTGGACGACGGCGTGTGCGTCTTCTTCAGCTTCGGAGACTCCCACTCCCAGTTGTCTTCAACGTCCGGGGGGTTACTGTGGTCGCCCCATCGGGGTTCGTTCGGCCCGCTTGGGGTAGTGGCGGCTCCGCGAGCGCGAGGGGACTTCTGCCCAGGTGGATCAATGCCGAATTCACTCCAGAACGACGAATCGATATCCGCCGATTTGGAGTCTTTACCAGAATGTTTGCTCCCAGACCCCTTGCTCCCCGAGGAGGACCGCGACAGCGTAGTCCCTCCGTATACCGACACCCGATCCCGACTGCGTGATGTCGAACTGGATGACACCCGCTGGCGCACCGGTGGCACACCCCTCGACTCGGTCGCACTGATTCCCTCTTCTCCCACCGTGGCTTGTCGAATGTCCTCCAAGAACGTCCAGAGTCCTTCCTTCAAATCCGATGCCATCTGCTTGCCGGTCCGCACGAGGGCATCTCGCGACGGGGGCGGCATGGTGTTCCGCCACTGCGAAATCATGTCATCTGCAGGCTTCGAGCTCACGCCGCCCGCAATGGCACTGCGTTCGACAGAAGAGGGTAAGGTCGCCGACCGTGGAGATCGACCGATGCGTTGGCTGCCGGCCTCCGACTCGGATCCCGTATTGCCCTCCCCAGATCCCGTCGTTGGGGAAAGCAAGGACAGGGCCCGAGTGTGGGAGCCACGGAAGACCCGTCGGCCATTGGCAGAAACGTTGGTGCCCTTGGTCGCGGCCGCGCGGAGGCTCTGCCGCCGCTCCAGCTCCCGGCTGAGTCGGACCTGGGCCGCCGACGAGCTGCCTGCACTGCTTACACTGTGGTCGCGGCGATGTGGGAAGGTGGGCTCTTCAGGGGATCGCAGGGAGACCAGCGGCTCGGCGCGATGGCTGATCTCCGTGCGTTTCTTTGTCTTCTCGGTTGACGCCCACTGCTTTTTCAAAGAGTCCAGCTCCGTCTCGGCCCGGTTCAACTCTTCCCGAAGCTCCAGCACTTTTCGCTCCTGCGAGGCGATCGCGGTCAGCAGACCCGAGCCGTCATCCTTCTCCTCAAAGGCCAGCGGGGTGCCGAGATGGGGGACCGGCGACTGGTGAGCGGAGGTCCGTGTCACGGGCGTCATCGATCCGGGAGACGCAAGACTGGGGTCGTAAGCTTCGGGTCCGGAGGGGATGTTGATGGGAAAGTTGAGGGTAAGTCGCTTGGCGTGTCTGGCAGCACCATGAGGGCGAGGGGGGAGAGAAGATCGCTTGAGTTGAGTGGGAGTCCGGCCGGTCGGCGATGCAGGGTGATGGTCATGGTTGAGCTGGTCAGGCGACGATGGCAGCAGCTTCGCGGTTTGGGACGTTTCCGGCGCGGTTTCCGCCTCGCCCGTTCCCGGGAAATCCCCCATGACGGGCCAGCGTGTGGAGGATGGAGATCGTGGGCGAAGCTGATAAGGGTCGGTTCGGAGAGTTATTGACAGATCAAGAGCGTAATCATGACATTCATTCCCTTGTTGAATTGAGAGAAGAGGGGAAGAGGGGAGATATGAGAGGCCCACCGCCACAGTCGAGGGGAATTGCAATTGTTGGCTGATAAGAAAAGAATGTATGTACGTATGTATGAGTATGTATGTATGGATGGGCCCGTCAGCAGTGATAAACAATCATCAATGACAACAATAACAACACACAAAGGACAGTGGGCAGCAACCAGACTGGACACGGAAAGACAATGGGAATAGAAGACCAGAAGAAAGGGAGACGGGGAAAGGAGAAAAGGAAGCGAAGGAAAGTTTAGAGAAAGTAGGTAAGGGAAGGACTAGACCCAACACGGGGGGGGGGGGTCGTTGGTGAAGGGTGAAGTTCACTAAAAAGACGGTGATTTCGGTAGCGGGTCGCAACGCGCATCCCTTCCGCCTCCGCCTCGTCCAGTTCCCGTCTCAGGGGAGAGGGAAAATGAGAGAGAGAGAGAGAGAGAAAGACAGGAAGCATGTACTTTGCCACTCAGTAGTGACCTCTGACTTGGCATAATTTGCACATACTCGAGTCTTGGTGTACCCAAAGACATTGAGGCAGTAAACTCCTGCATATCTCCAAAGCAATGCCACCAGTGCAAACTGCAGTCTCCGCTGGCCCTGATAAGGATCATCATGTGGTTGACAGCCCCCAAGCTGAAACCGCCAAATACTGCCCAGCACGAGTCGCTCCACGCGGGTGGTGGTCAGTTTGATTACTTTGTCTATCTTTGCCTGCTTCTGGCCCTCCCGAGTCCCCTGTCTTTATTCCCATAGCAATGAGGGGGGTGGTGAAATTGCCCAATTGCATTACTATGTCCACAATGCCATATACACACAACGCATGCAAGAATCACTTCGCCTTACTTACAGATCCCACCAATTATTATCTCACTCACACCTTGCCAGAAATTGTCCAACAAAAATAAACACCTGTAGACACACACAAGGAGAACCTATGACAAGAAAAGAAAGAATGGCAAATCACAAACTCGCCAGAAAATCGGCTTCGAAAATATAAGCAGTAAGAAATCTGAACGCCCAAACCGAGCCCTATCCGACTGTCAATTGGTACATAGGAAATTATAGTCGTTGGTAGACCAAAGATCACAAACACAAAGAAATCAGATATCAAAGAGAGGCCACGGTGCCCTCATGGTCGGTCTCTCGCCAGACGAGACAAGCCCGGGTATATCGTCGCCTGAAACTGTCTCCTTCGGGTCTTGTTGACCAGCAACAGACTTTAAGTGCGAGAGATTAGGACCCGTGTGATGACAGGCCATGAGAGCACAAACAATACCAAGTGAGGGGGAATAATGCAACAATAAAGAAAAAGTAACAGCGCATATGAAGGAAAAGACCACGGGCGGCCAGGTGACCGAATATTTCAACGCCGCATGTGAGCCCAATTTTTTGTACAATGATGAATATGTTGTGTCGCGCTGAGATTCGTAGGATTCGAGATCTCCAGATCGCAGTATGCAAGGAGTTGACGAAATTGCAAAGAGCCAGTTCTAGATTCCAGGCCATCGATTGCGAAGGCCCTCAGACCAGCGCTGATAGAGCACATCTGACAACTGCTTAGTGTGCTCCATCCCCGGCACCTGTTGCCCGGGGAGGTTTGCAAGCTGGGCGGGTTGGAGGCTAGGCTCGGCCACGGCGGCGCTCTGGCGGCGCCGGTGGGATTTGAGGTGTGGGTTGCTCTGCGCCAAAACCAGTCGCGGCCTCTGTGGGGAATCGGCCGGTGGAGCTGCGGGTGGGACGAGACTGGCCAGCTTCGGGTCACTAACCATCCACCAACACGAGCGTTGTTAGCAACCCAGAAACTTTATTTGACAAGTACTACTGCAGGGGAGGCACGCTTGCTTACCTCTGTAGCTTCTCCGTCGTCGCTCTGAGAATATGATAGAGTCCCTCGGGATCGACCATCTCCAGATCACTCCAGGCCTCCGCTAGTCGTGAGATCGCTTCCCGCTTCTCTTGGTCGCCCGTGGTCCCCAACACTTCCTGGCAGGCGAGCCCGACCGCCTTGCTGTACGCCCGACGCCCCAGTTGCGCTTCCTTGCTGTTCGGCTCGGAAAATAACGTCTTGGGACTGGCGTTTTCGTCCCCTCCGAACAGGTACTGCGGCGGGTAAGATGCGTCGCTAGGGCTCTTATTGTCCGACACCCGACGGAACTGCCGCACCGTCGACGGGCTGTTGCCGAAACTCATATCCACTCCGAGTGGCTGCTTCACTCCACTCGACCGTCGCTTAGCCCGCCGAATTGACGGACTGTGGTCGGGAGCTTGAGCTCGTCGTACCGCGGTGTTATTCGTATGCTTTGACGGAGGGCTGGACACGTAAAGATCGTCCATCATGTCGGCGGTTTCGTCGAAAACCCAGTCTTCCTGTGGCTCTGGCTCTGGTTCTGGCCCATTCTCCTCATCGTCTTCGACTTCATGTATAGTCGTCGTAGAAGCTTTCACGGTATCGAAGATCCACCCGTCGTCGTCGTTCAGGTTCCGAATAGTATTCCTGTGCGACAGAAACAGTCAGTGCGAGGAGCATGGACAATGGAACTTGGATTTGCATACAGCGACTCCGCATAATACTTAATCTTGTGGGTCACTCCTCGTCCAGCATCAAAATCCTGCTTGCGATGAATCAACTCTTGTAGCGCCTCCGTTTTGCCCGCATTGCGGATAAATTTATGTCGCAGAAGCTCCTTCGCGCTCGGTCTCCGGTCGGGGTCCTTGGTCAAACACTGTGCGATGAAGTCTTTGAAGGTATTGCTGTACTGGTCTCCCTGTAGGCGCGGGGCGGGTTCTTTGGGGATTAGGAAGAGTACCTTCATGGGGTGGGTGCTCGCATGGGGTGGCTCGCCGTTGATCATTTCGATTGCCGTAATTCCGAGCGACCAGATGTCCGCCTTATAATCATACCCAGCCTGTTGAATGACTTCGGGGGCCATCCAGAACGGTGTTCCGACAAATGTGTTGCGCTGAGATTTGATGTTGATCAGTTGCGCGGCAACTCCGAAATCCGCCAGCTTCACTTTGCCCGTGTGCGACAGAAGTACATTGGCGGCTTTGATGTCGCGGTGGATCTTGCCTTCGCTGTGCAGATAGTCGAGTCCGAGTAGCAATTGTTGGCAAATGATAGCGACGTGTGCTTCGTTGAAGACTCCGGGTTTGAGCTAGGGAGTATTAGCGGAGGGGACGGAGCTAGTCGACTCCTCAGCTGCGGAGGTGCTGAGTGGGTTATTACCAGGTCCAAACACGATCCTCCCCCGAGAAATTCCATCACAATCCACAACTTATGTCCTCGTAGAAAACTAGCCTTGTATTGCGTGACGAATGGGCTGGCGCAGGTGGCAAGGACCGAGATCTCCTGCTGGATTTCCTGGATATCATCTTCGCTGGACTCGAGATCGATCTAGAAAGGCCGAAAGTGGTCAATCGGACGATCGGAGAAAGAAAGAGACCAGTCACACGCACATGCTTGATCGCTACGATCTCGCCCGTAGCCTTGTCAATAGCTTTGTATACCGTTCCAAAGCTACCACCTGTAGCATGTTGGTCAGCCATCATCGGCGCAATCGGCGCAATTGGACGGCAGAGACTTACTGCCCAGCTCTTCCATCATCTGGTAGTGACTTGCCATGTCGTCCTCCATTTTGATCGCGTGCAAGCCGTAGCTGGAGGGCTATCGGCGCAGTTGAAGAATCGGGGAGAGATAGCTCAGAGAAACAAATAGAAAAGAGAAGGGGGAAAGAAGCAAAAAAGAAGAAAAAGAAAAGAGAGGAGAGCTAAAACAGGGCACACAAGGGGGGGGCACCCGCACCGCCAGTCAGCTATTTATTTCCTGTCCGGCGAAAGGACGGATGGAGCTGGAGCTGGAGCTGGGAGCAAGGACGAGTGGAACCTGGCCCTGTAGATAGAAGATAGAGAAATGAGGGGGAAAGAAGTGGGAAGATAGCGAGTGCTTCGATAGGATCGATACCTACTAACTGACTTAACCGTCCCTCTTACCAGGAAGTGCCCCATTCTTTCTACTGGCAGCCGCTTCTCTTCCATGGTACGCGGCAGAGACAACAGGCGGTAGTGCATGGCAACCATGGGTCAGCTACCGAGTCACCGCCCCGGGCACCGCTGGACCGCTGGTATTTCGCGGCCTTGATTGGGTGCCAAATTCCCCGTTTGCGGCTGTTGCCTCAGGCACGCTGCAACCCGCAGTACCCCAGCCCTGCATGGTGCAGGTGATGCAGATGGGGCATGCAGGCCGCCAGGTACGCAAAGGTCAGCAGGACTTCATCGGTATGGAGAAATATAATCCAGCAAATTAGATATCCGCATTGACGTATTTAGTTTTTTCAGATTCCTAAGACTATAGTCTTGCTCCAGCTTTTTCCATCTTCAAATCCCTCGGTGCAACACATTTACAATTCATAGCGTGGTGCCACGGTAGCGTGTCTAGATCTAGATATACTTATACGGGTTCATGATTCCGTTCTGTATCGACCAGCCAGTTAGTTTTAGTCCCACTGTAAAAAGCTCAACGGGGCATGATGATCCTTACCGGGTCATACAAGTTCTTCAACTGCTTCATCAACTTCACCATCGTCTCATTCTGGCTGTATCCGATGAATTCCTTCTTCGCCAGACCTAGGCCGTGTTCCGCGCTGATGCTACCTTTGCGCTGCTGGATCCACTCATACACCCAAGGCTCGATGGCCTTCTCGACTTCCTTGTTGTACTGCCGCACAGAAATGTTCAAGTGCAGGTTGGAATCACCCATGTGACCATAGCCGACAACGGCCCGAACAGGAAAGGAGTCGTCATCACCCACGAAGCCAAGCTTCGTCAAACGCTCCTTGCAGTCCTCAACCAGCTGGTACAGCTCGGGCAGAGGAATGGAGACGTCATACTTGTAAGTTCCGCCCAGGTGGCTCAAGGCCTCCGTAATACCTTCTCTCCACCGCCAGATCGAGTGGAATTGGGTCTCATCCTGAGCCAAAACACCATCTGCGACAATGCCCTCACCCATGACATGTTCCAAGAAGGTCTCCAGCTTGGCCATGTCGTGTTCGGCGTTAGAGCCACTAGTCTCCACCAGACAGTAGAAAGGATACTCGGTCTCGAGGGGATAGTTGTTGCCAGTCGACTCGTGAACCAGCTTCTGAGTGCGCCCGTCCATCAACTCGAAAGCGGAAAGGATTTCAGACAGGTGTCCCTTGGCTTCCTGGTAAGCCTTGCGGACCATGTCATAGCTCTCCAGACCGAAATAAGCGACGTTGACAGCCTTGGGGCGAGAAGGACATTGAATAGAGACCTTCGTAATGATGCCAATGGTACCTTCGGCGCCAATGAACAGTTGCTTCAGATCATAGCCAGTGTTGTTCTTGCGCAGGGTCGACATGGCATCGACGACGGTTCCATCTGCCAGCACCGCTTCAACACCAAGCACAGTACCGTGAAGACTGCCATAGCGGAGCAGACGCAGACCACCGGCGTTGGTAGCAACGTTACCGCCGACATGGCATGAGCCCTTAGCACCCAGGTCCAGCGGGAAAAGGTGGTTCCGCTCGGCCAAGTACTGGTCAGCCACCTCCAGGATGACACCAGAGTCAACCACCAAGACTCCGGACGCTTCATCGAAGGAGTGGATCTGGTTCATGCGAGAGAGGTTGATGACGATCTCGTCGAAGACGGGCACGGAACCTCCTACCAATCCCGTGTTGCCTCCCTGGGGCACAACGGCCAACTTCTTCTCGTTGCAGTATTGTAACACCTTGCTAACCTCCTCGGTGGTCTGGGGCTTCAGGACCAACTTGGTCTGGCCACGGTACTTGCGCATCCAGTCGCTGTTGAAGGGTTCGATATCATCGGCGTTGTCGGCGGTCACTCCATCGATCACGGCGGACTGTGCGCCCAGCAACTCCTTGAAGTATTTCACATCCTCGGCGGAGATTTCGGCGAACTTCGAATCGCGCTTGAGGTTAGGATAAGCATTGGTGGTGTACTGAATCTCCTTGGTCGCATTGGCGCGGGCGGTAACGGTGAAGGTGCGTGTGGCGGCCAGGGAAGGAGTCTGGACCGCAGCGACAGGGCGGAACAAGCAGCGAGGCTTGGGCACACGAGCCCTTCGCAGAGCGACTGAAATATTCCTAGCACCGGACATGATGTGGGGCGGGGTGGAAGGTGAGGGTGAGGAGAAAGGCACTGGAAGAGTCAACAGAGCGGCGAGCGGCGAGCGGCCATCTAAAAAGCCTAACTTACCCCCCGATGGCGGAGATGGAGTCATCGTCTCGGCTTGGAGTCAGCGGCGCCGAACTGTCTTTCCGTCCCGACGGATGTTGTGGCCTCAGGCAGCACAAAGGTCCGGTCTGCGGGAACCTGAATAGTAATCACTTGCCTCAAGTTGGGTGGTCGATAGAGTTAAGCATGGGTAGCTTAAACTAAGTACTCTATAAGTTAATTCAACGAAGTATATGCAGTATATGCTCAATAATTTCAATGATAGAACCACGTGGTCATTTTCAAAGCAGAAGCCACCCCCAGCTCAAGCCAGTCAATATTCAACATTCAATAATGTAACTCTCGTTTTCTCGCCGGGACTGTAACCCTCGTCTTCACATAGTTTTTCTCCTCCATCTCAACTCTCCACTGCATGGGTTGACCAGTCCTCAATCAGAATCTGATCGCACCTACCAGGGGCGAGGGGCAACAGCAAGCGACAAGCATCATGGCTGGAAGCCAAACGGTCCTTCTGCAGCGATGCCTGTTGAGGGAAAAGAGCGGCAAGCGTCGCCAAGCCCGTCCGTCACTGGACATTGGTGTCATGTCCCTCGTCATCCTCGATCAATAAGCGATACAGCAACAATAATAGTAAATACTGGGTACCTGATCACATCACATTCACCGCGGAGGACAGCTCTCCAGGAATCCACCGCCCATCGACTTTCCTCGACCCTCATCGAAGCAGCGATCCAGCGATCCCTCGATCCAGGCCCGACCTCGTCTGGCTTCGGTGTGTCTTTTTGAGCGAAACCACCACGCGGTTCTTGTTACGTCATTACAGGTGCCCCGCAGTCGACCAGAATCTCCTCCTCATCGTCCCAGCTTCTCAATGCTCGATTCTTTTCCATCATGTCCTCTTCTGACAACCCCATTGCAAACATGTCTACCTGTGTTCTCGTTACCGGCGCCACTGGCCTTTTGGGCCGCCAGGTCTTCAATACTTTCAAGCACTCCGGATGCCTCGTCGTTGGCCAAGGCTACTCACGAGCCATCCCCCCCACGATACAGAAGGCTGACTTGGAAAACCTCGATGCGATCAGAGCTCTACTTGACGAAGCGAAGTAAGTTTTTCTGCCTGGTTGAAGCTACAATTTGTGCACCACGATCTCTCGGGTGGACTTCAACGCTGATACTGATCTGCCACAGGCCTCAGATCGTCGTCCACTGTACGTGATACCAGGCTTGCAAAAGCAACTAAGTTGTCTCTCCTTGGATTCTGACCTTTGTAGGTGCCGCCAATCGGTCTCCCGACTTGTGCGACAAGAACCCTGAGCAGGCGCGCCGAGTCAACGTTGACGCCACCCGCGTGCTGGCAGAGGAAACGTCGCGCCGTAGTATCCTGCTCATATACATCTCGACCGACTACGTTTTCCCTGGCATTGAGGGGGAAGCCCCGTATGAGGCCGATGCGGAGACCAATCCGCCCAACATGTATGGCCGGTTGAAGCGGGATGGTGAGCTGGCAGTACTGGAGGCTACGAAGGAGACTGGTCTCGGGCTGATCCTTCGCGTGCCCGTACTGTACGGAGTGGCCAAGGACAACTCAGAGAGCGCTGTCAACACTTTGGTTGATGCGGTGTACAAGGCGCAAGACGAGAATGCGGGGATCAAGATGGACGACTGGGCACAGCGGTACCCGACTAACACGGAGGACGTCGCTCGGGTGTGCCGTGACATTGTAATCAAGTATATTAAGGAGCGTCGTCACATTCAAGAGCTGCCCAGGATTTTGCAGTTCTCGTCCGAGGACCGAATGACCAAGTACGAAATCTGTGAAAAGCTAGCGGATGTGCTCGGACTGTCCCTGGTAGGGATGATCAGGAACAAGGAGGGGAATGACCCCAACTCGGCCGTGCAGCGTCCTTACGACGTGCATCTGTCCACTAAGGTGCTGAAGGATCTGGGGATTGAAGTTCGGACTGTGGACTTTGTGGCATGGTGGTAAGTAGACGCCTGGCATGTTTGTGTGTATGTGGCAGCATCTAACACTGAATTTACAGGCGGAAGTATCTAGGAGCGTACAAGAAATGATTGGCGGTCTCACACCAAGGAATAAAAACGAAAACTGAGATAGAGAGATGCTGGCGGTGGTAAAAGTCCTTTTGAGGTTGCATCCCAAACGACCGCGATGTCCATGGATTATTGGTTAATCACCGACTAATGAGAAATAGCTCGCTAATAGCATGCAATATTATGTATTCTGATGATACAATAAATGGTTGTTGGTGTTTGCGTTTGCGTTTGTGTTTGTACTTGTACTTATGTTTTAGTGTGCTGTCCGGCAATCAGGAGCAAGACGAGCTGGGTTGAATTTGACAGTTTGGGGGTGGCTCAGAAATAGCGCATTTACCGGGGGTCAGACCCGGGCCGGGAAGT